AAGGGCTGGCTCAGAATAAGGCAATGCCATATGTTCATATCCAAGGTTCAGATCTAGCTTATCCAAAGATATATGTTCAATTGGTTTTCATATCTGTTTTTAAATTCAGTAGCTGTATTTTGCAAAGGATTTAAGGTTTGCATATATTTCTCTGAAGTATTTCTACTGAGATTAATGTCGAAGAACAAAACTCACAATACACCAGGGGAGTGAGAAGCATAAGGATACCCTCATTCTGACATAGGGAGAACGCCCACCTGTTGCAGATGCTGCAGTGGTGGGTCCTGGCAGGCTTCGGGGCAATACATTTCCTGCAGATGGAGACAGCAGCGATGTCACTCCTGGACTGCTAGAGGAAGGAAACAGCAGGGGCTCTTCAGCATTCTGTTGCAAGGATGCTGCCACCTAACACTAACTCAGAACAAGCTGGAGTCAAGAACACTTGGACCCAGGCATTCCAGAGCCACACATAAGGGCAGCTCCAGGCCAGCCTTTCCCTTTTGTCGTTTTGCAAGGCATGAAATGGTGGGAAATCCTGCCAAGCAGCCCTGCTTCAGATATCAGCATAAAAAAGCCCCCCTGAGGCATCAAAGTCCTGCACCCCCTGCTGAAAGAAGAAGAAAATTGAGGCCTCAGCTGCCCTACCTGTGGAGGGTAACCAGGCTGAGTAGTGATGGCCATGTAGTAGTGGAAGACAATCATGACGAGGTTCCAGTGGCCATAAATGAAATGCCAGAAGATCCAGGGAAGAGGGTAGGTCCGCAGAATGAGTGGCAAGAGGCACACATACACGATGCACACCACTGAGCTGGTCAGAATGATCACCAATGCAACAAACACCTGTTTGACAGATCAGGGAAGGGACTAAGTCACTAGCACAGTGTTGCTGGATGAATCCCTTTGATAAAGCTTGCTTGGACACCCATTAGCCCCAAAAGCACAACAGCTTTGGGGAGTGGACAAAGGATTATGTGAATCCATCCCATCTCCTCCCACATCTGTATCTCCCCCTTGCTTGGCAGGAAGGGTTGCAGCTCAGTGAAAAAGCATCTCCTTTGCGTGCAGGAAGTCCCAGATTCAATCCTCAGCATCACAAGAATCAGGAAGTGGGTGATGTGAAAAACCTGGCTGAGACCCTGGAAAGCTGCTGCCAGTCAGAGTAAACAATGCTGGCCTTGATCATCTAGGACAGCTTCATGTGTTTCAAGTAGCTACTCAAAATGGCTGGGGGCAGCATCTCTAAAAGTCAGAGCTGGAACTGCCTCCCATAGACTTTTAGGCTCCGCACCTCTTCCTACAGGTACTTACCACTCCAAACCAACGGGTGATGTGATCCACCAGCCAGTAGACAGGCTCAAAGAGAGCATCAAGGGCAGTGTCACTATCAATGAAGGAGTTGTACAGCAGAGAGCGCACACACAGACGTCCATATAGCCACAGCTGCCACACCTTCTGAGTTGGCCAGAACCGGTGGCGCTGACCTATCCGCAGGCACCTCAGTAAGAGGCGCATGACAGCAGAGAATATCCACCGGCGAGTCCTCATTCCTGCCACTCAAATCCTGGGGAAGGAGGGAGGCAGCTGCATCAAGACCACCCTCTTTGTAACTCAGACATTTCAAGAGTGTGAGCAAAGGCTTGAAGCCTGGCATTCAGGAGCCTGTGCTGGGCTTAATTCCCTGGCATTACAACAATAAGGAGCCACTCGGTGCTACAGGGATGAGGAACAGTCACTGCCAATCCAGAATACTGTTTTAGATGCGACTTTGCTAACATTTCTGTCTACCCCCCCCCCCCAAAATGGAACTGCAGATCTTGTGTGGCCAAAGATGCATTAAGTTCAAGAGACAGCATGTTGACCAGACACTAGGTGCCAAAGGGGCATATTTAGTGAGAGTAAGTTCTGGGATCCTTTCCCAAATGTCATTGGATTGGATCCTATAGAACTTTTCTGCTAACTGTATAGTCCAAGGAGCCTTGGACCAACTGAAGATCCTCTTACAATGGAGGAAAATGTCACCATTAGTGGAAAACATTCTGTAGGAGCCAACCTGTTGTATTAACTAAGGACAATCATGATAAAGAGAAAGACAAAATGCCACAGAGGAAACTGGAGATATAGACACTATTCATGCACTAAGCAAGTCCCAAGACCTGTTAGCAATCCCCAGAGTTGGGGAGGGAGAAGAGGTAAATTAAGGTCAGTGATAAAGATTCACCCAGAATACATAATGTGTTACAGAGCTGGGCACTTGTAGATTTCAGATGGCTATCACACAGGGAAAGGCCTGCATCCTTCCTCACACCCCTTCCTGCTCATTTGCATTACTGTAGAATACCTGCGGTTTGAGAAGCACACTAAGGCTGCGGTCACACACACTAAATAATCCTCTTTCAATGCACTTTTCAACTGGATTTTACTGTGTGAATTGGCAAAATCCAGTTGGAAAGTGGATTGAAAGTGGATTATTTAGTGTGTGTGACCGCAGCCGAAGTAAGAAGGAGACACACATTCCCAAAACCAAGTTCAGTCATGCATTTTTTTTTGGGGGGGGGGGGGTTAGCCTATCCCCTTGTCCCCTTAAAATGGGACAGTTATCCCATTTAAACCAGTCTACTGTGCCTGACACGGCCAAAAAGACTCAAATAAGAAGCCGAGGAGGGGGAGGAGATTGGATTTATACCCCGCCCTTCACTACCTGAAGGAGTCTCAGAGTGATTTACAATCCCTTTTCCTCCCCACAACAGACACTCTGTGAGGGACATAGGGCTGAGAGAGCTCTCTCTGAGAACTGCCCTTGAGAAAACAGCTCTGAAAGAACTTATGACCGACACAAGGTCACACCAGCAGCTGCATGTGGAGGAGTGGGGAATCAAACCTGGTTCTCCCAGATTAGAGTTTGAGCCCCTAACCACTACACCAAACTGGTTGAAAGAGGGGCTGAAAGAATGATGGAGCTTACCTGTTTGCATGAACCCTGGTGTCGAGCTGCAACTAATGTAAGAGCAAGAAGGAACCTGAGCTAGGCCAGCTCTGGAGAAAGCTGATCTTGGCCAATTAATATTAACCAACAGTGGTGATCTTGTGAACCTCAAGGGGTGGTGGCCTTAAGTAAGGAGTGACCCAGCAAGGAGTGGCAGGCAGGAACAGCACAAAGGGACCGAGAATGACAATGGAGCACCTCATAAGAGCAGGCTTGAGCCTAGCCTAGCAGCAAACACAATTTCCAGACTTCACTCAGTCTTACTGAGACAGCCCCCCCCCCCGCCCCAATCTACTCATTTCATATCCTTGATTTACATTTCAGGAGGCATTCTGAAGCTACGCCAGCCAGGGTAAAACATGTTCTTGTGCTACCAAAAGGGAGCATACTCTCTCTTATTAGTCTCTCATATGAAACCTAGCAGTACTGTTTGGTTCATCTTAAGGACATATCATCCAAAAGAAGAGATTCTGCGGGCTGCTAAAACACCAGTATGATATACAGTAGTAATTTACAAAGTTAAGCTGGGTAGGACTGCTGCATAGCCTCCAACACATTAACACATTTTTAGAAGAAAGGGATCAGTGTGGAGCTGTATCCGTCTACAGTCTGTTAATTCTCAAATGATAGAAACTCCAACAGAATTTGGCTATATGTGGTGTATATATGGCCAGGTTTTTGTATGGGCAATACACCAGACCCTGTCCCCCTAAATTCCTCCCTAAGACAGGAGAGTTTCTTATATTAACACACCTAATGATTAGTGTTCCCTCTAAACCGCCCACAACTTTAATGCCAGGAGCTCACAAATTAGAATTTTTGCTCACAAGAGTCCACAGCTTAGAGGGAGCATTGATAATGATGTGGTCACTCAGTTTTCTTACAGGGGAATATTCTGAAGCACAGTTTCAGGGTTCAGGCTCACATGGGGCCAGATGCTGAGCGCTCAGCTCCACTAGCCTGTTCATATGGAGATTACAGTACATAATACACACACACAGGCATTGTTGCTGAGAGCAGTCAGATCACCCAGCCTGTTCTCTGCCAGCTGGGCAGAGTTGGCATAATTCCTAGGCGCAGATTAAGGGCAATCTTTTTAAAAACCGGCAGCATCACCCTTCTAGCAGATGGCAGCACAGAAAATCTTCACCAGTGGAAGAACATTAATAACTGAGAGATGCTCATCAGACCTGCGTGGGTGAAAATCAGAATGCACTTTGTAGTGGGAGACCTCCCTGAGGGACATTTTAGTCATTCTGTATGAAAAAAGGTCAGCCAACGTTGTAATGCCACCCTTGTCTGAAGCTCCAGCTTCTCTACTCCGATTCGTGGACATGACACAACCCGGATAACGGTTACTGAGAGGGTATTTGGGGTGGGGGAGGGAAGTCGGGGCATACCCTCCACCAACCTTTTCAGACTGTCTATAAACCCAGAACCATCGAAACTTTACATTCCACGGAGGTCCATTGAAACACGCACGCTGAGGGTATAGTCTCAGAATAGCAGAAGAAGAAGGAACTAGGCAACGTCTGCGGGAGCGAAGGGGACCGACATCCAGTTGTGTCTCACAACACAACGCACAACGGCATCCACAGAAACGCTGGAAAGGGGGGGGGGGGGGGGGGGGAGACAACAGTATCTCAGCAAATAGCAATAGGCTGTGCCCCTAACAGCAATGGAGAAAGGGAGTACCCCGGTAAGGGGAAAGGACGGTCTCTTTCAAAGCATGCCGGGCTAAAGGCGACTTACCCCAGTATGCACCGCAGGGACACAGCGTGAGAAGGATCCGTTTCTCACCCGACGCCTCCATTCTCTGAGACGAGACAAACGGCTCTCCGGTCACCGCATCCACCCAGACATCTCTTATCCTGGTCACCCTTATCCAAAGCTTATCGCGCATGCACTCCCCCGAATGGAACTACAAATCCCATCGGGTATCGCGCGACTCGGTCATGCTTTCTCCCTCTAGCGTTACTTTTTCTCAGTCAGTTGACTCAAACAACAGGAAAAAGTGTGTGGGGAGAGTCACGTGACAGAAGGACTAACTAACGATGTGGGTGCCTACAGCTGCCCCGAGTGGTAGGAGGTCTGATTGAGGAGGAAGTGGGCGCTGTAGCCTCGGTTTCCGTCGTCCCTGACTGCAGCATGGCTCCGGCGCGGTTTTGCGTTCCTGGTGGGTGAATGGCGGCAAATGTGTACGGGGTTGTGGGGAGGAAGGCTGAGGTGGGCCTTTAGACCGAATGAGAGTCGGACATCCTTCAGGGGATTCTGCCGGAGAGAGAGCGCGTCTTGCGCAGAACAGCCGCAGTTTAGGTTAGAATGGGAGATGGGCTAGTAGTGAGTGGAGAGATCCTCTCGCGTAGGCGCGAAGTGCTTTAGGAAGGGGATTAAACAGCGGAAAGAAATAGGTTGCTGACCGGGGGCGGGGAAAGAACTAAAAGAAGGCAAGGCAAGACACGCGGAGAGCTGTAAATCTTTCTAACTCGGGTCGGTAATCCTGGGAATAATCAGGAACCCGGGTGAAAGAGATGCGGGCCTTGGGGTGACGCTTCTGTGCCTTCTGGCAATAAAGGAGAACTGTAGTGCTTTGCAGTTGTTGTACCTCCTTTTATTCGTAGTTCCAGAGGGTTTTACCCTGTTGTAGGAGAGTACAATAAATATCAGATCTAAAGACGGATGAAATATGGAACCAATTAACAACTGTAAGTGGTGGGATATGTGAGATGTTAGCACTTATGATTAGTCTGGAATCGAGGCTCCTTTGTTCAGTGAGTGTGAAGATACAGTCTTGAATTTGTGAATTAATTCTAATTCAGCACTTTGGGCTTAGATCTTCCCAGTGAAATTATTTTGAAGGTGAACAATAACCTTTAGATCAGCCACAATATGGTTAATCTGTGCCGCCCACTTCTTTCTGAGCCTTTAAAAAAAAGTTAGATTGTGTCTGTTTATTTTTTTACATAGGAATTGTCCCTGTTGTCCCATATAAAGAGACATTGTGGATACCTGATGGCATGTATTCAATTGAAGGATGTGCCCAAGGTGGTATGGCTGATGTTATTAGCATGGCTGTAATATTGCCTGAGTATATATGGGGACAAAACTGGCATCTAGATTTATTGCTGGGTTTGATTCCTGTGTTTGAGTCTCTGTTAGGCTTTCCATAGCTCTTGATGAAAAGCTGTTTTGGGTTAACAAGGAAAGTTTTGCCACCCAAACGGGAGAATATCATTTTCCAGGACGATGCTTTGGACTGGTTTATGTTGTGAGCTGTAGGTGACAATCAGTGGTGTTCTATTACTTCTCCTTTGGGCCTGTAGTGTAGCAGGGTAGTTCTGAGAATAGTATGGCTTTGTTGATCTGCTTTTTTACTTTATTGAATGGATATTGTAAATGCCTGTTGTAAACCCTTCAGGTGTAAATCTCTGTCTGAGGGATTGGAGCAAATGAGATTGTAATGTAGTGGTTGGTTATAGGCAATGGATTGTTTTATATGCTCCAGGTAATAACTGGAGACATGCAGGCATATGTGGTAGACAATGGATTTTCAGTATAAAGTGGTGTTCTTGTGTCAATTGCATAGTTATTTAGGGGTGTCCAGAAAATGTACCTGTTCCATGGAGGTGTCCATGCTCAAGTTGGTGGATTGAAAGTTGTTGATGTCCTGTTGAAATCTCTTCATCTTCTTCAGGAGCTGCTCTAGCCTCTCCCATAGATGGTGAGCAGGCTGTCCCCCCCCCCCCCACGCTCTGTGAGACCTAAGACAAGGAGGAAGATCAGCCATACACCACTGAAGGGAGTGCTGGTGCTTTTGGTATTTTCCTAGTGATGAGAAGCCTTCCCTACTTCCATTGCAAAGATTGGAGGGGGGGTAGGTGAGAAATAGCACTTTACAAATATCTTCCTCTGATGTATCTGAACATGCAGAATAATGCAATAGGAGCCTTGCCAGATCTGGGACACTTAGGCTAGTTCTGCTTCTACTATGTTCTACTTTGCACCGGCTTCACCTGTTTCATTTACTGTGGCTTTTAAATAGTTTATGGTGAATACTATATAGGCCAGACTTCACAAAGCTGTTTCAATTCCTTCAACACATTATGTTTCGCCAGATACCTTCTGGAAGGGTCTGGGCACACAGTCTATCACAGACAGGCAGACTTGGAGTTCCAGCACTGACTTCACCTTTGTATTGTATTCCCCAGGAGAGAGACTCTGCAGCTTAGAGGAAGGAACCCCTGGCAGTGGCACCTACACTCGTCATGGCTCTATATTTGCCTCTCTGGCAGGTTGTTTCATGAAGAAAAGTGAGAATGGCATGGTAAAAATGAAGCGAATTGGGAGCAGTTGGGTTGGATATGCTCAATGTTTTAATTCGTGAGTGGGGCAAGAATCAGTGTGTGGTCTTCTGGAAATCCAAAGCTGGCTTGTTGTTCTAGCAGACAGCTTGATGCAATGCAACCAGTGGATAACAGTCCAGTTTTCTGTGCTTTTTTACAGCTGCCTGTGGTCTCTGTAATGAGGGATGTAGATTCTCAACTTCTACCTGATGTTGGGGCCACAGTGACATGCAAGGTAATCCTGGCAGATCTTGCTAGACAAGATAGAATTGTCCTTAATGTCCTAAGAAGTGAACAGACCAATGTTCCCTCTAAGCTGTGGAGTCTTGTGAGCAAAAATTCTACTTCTCGAGCTACTGGCATTAAAGTTGTGAGTGAGCGATGTGGCTACTGCATCAATTAGTTTGCTCTGGAGCCATCCGTCCTGAGCTAAAACAAAAAGGTGTGAGCCGGAGGCTAAACAACTGTGAGCTAGCTCACACTAACTCGGCTTAGAGGGAACACTGGAACAGACTAGAAAATCTTGAGTGCTGCAAACCTGATTGTTGTGTATGGGCAGTGTTTTGTTGTGTTCTATTCATACACAGGCTTTCAGACTATTTCCATGAGTCCCTGAGTTTCTTCTCTAACAGGCTAAGTGGGTCCTGGCAGGCATCTGTCCTCAGCAGATGGGGAGGGGGTGCAGGAAAAAGAGGAAAGATGCTAAGCAGTAAGATATGGCACGTGTTCCTTCTACAGAGTGTGTCATGTCCTAAATTGACTGTTCTTGATTTGCTTAACCTGAAAGTCATCTTGAACAGCCTTTCTCTTTCTTACCCTTCTTCCCAGGTTTGCAGCATTAATTCACGTTTCGCAAAAGTCCACATCTTGTACGTCAGCTCTACACCACTGAAATCCCCATTCCGTGGAACAATACGGTAGGAAGAGATTTTGGCAAGGGGAGATTAGGCTTCTATCTCCCTTATACATAAAAGCCAGATGTTGGTGGCACTTCTCTAGAACATTCCACACGCTCCGGAACTGGTTGGCGCCCTGGTGTGTCACTCAGAATATGTCCCTATCCACTGGCTGCATTGCTTGAGTCACGCCTCCAACATTCTAAACAGTTTGCTGATCCTCTCCCCCCCCCCCAGCCAGTCAGAACACAGAGGTTATTAGCATGTGCAGCCTCATTGGCCTTTGGCTCAGAACACAGAGGTCATTTGCATATGCGACAATGCTTTTGCCTCTAACATTCTAAACAGTTTGCTGTTCTGAGGTAAAATGTGTCCAGTCTCCAGGTGATCAGAATTACAACTGCTTTCCAGATAACAGAGATCAGTTTCCCTGCAGAAAATGGTGGGCTCTGTATCCTTATATGCTGTTGAGGTAGCCCCCATATGACAGCCAATGTGACGTAGCAGTCAGATGATTAGCTGGGAAGGAGATAGGGTTGCCAACTCCAGGTGGGAAATTCCTGGCGATGTGAGGGATGGAGCCTGGAGAGAGTGAGGTTTCAGGAGATGTGGGACCTCAGACAGGTACAAAGCCATAGACCCCACCCTCCAAACCAACCATTCCCTTCTGTGAAACCATCGTTGTCAATCTCCAGGTGAGGGCTGGAGATCACTCAAAATTACAGCTGTTCTTTAGGTAGCAGAGATCAGTTCCTCTGGAGAAAATGGTGGACTCAGTGTCATTATACCCTGCTGAGGTCGCCACAGCAAATTGACACTGAGTGTCCATGGCTGGGGCACCCGCCCAGAGCCTCTTTCCAGAGGCCATTGTATTTATTTCCACAACGGAACTTTTTCCTAGTCTCTTTTAAAGACCATTGTTTTATTCTCACCCTTTGCATTTGAGTGCTAATGAACATAAAGGGAACAGTGATTTTTTTACTTTCAGTACCTGCCAGCAGTTCATGGTTTACTTTAGGAGCCCCAAATATTGCTGAACCTGTAGGCACTTTTGACATTTTGAAAAACAGAGGTGCCAGCACAAAATAGCTGCCTTGAAGGCTGGGGCCAATGACAATATGTTCAGAGGTTCCAACCCAAGCATCCTAGTGTGGTAAAGGTAAAGGTTTCCCTTGCTCGAAAGTCAGTCGAATCCGACTCTAGGGGGCGGTGCTCATCTCCGTTTCCAAGCCGAAGAGCCAGCACTGTCCAAAGACGTTTCTGTGGTCATATGGCTGGCATGACTAAACGCCGAGATGCATGGAATGCTGTTACCTTCCCACTGAAGCGGTACCTATTTTTACTTGCAGTTTCTTGCTTTTGAACTGCTAGGTTGGCAGGAGCTGGGGCCAGAGACGGGAGCACATGGTGCTAGGGTCTTGAACTCCCAAACTACAGACCTTCCGGTCTGCAGCTCAGCATCTTAACCTCTGAGCCACCGCGGCCCCATACTATGATAGAAACATGCAAAAGTGATGCCTCCTGGCCTCTTCTGCCACATTTCCTGCTGCAGTGAGTTGGCGAAAAGCCAGGATTGGCACTTTGTTCTGGGGAAGAAAGAAGTGGGTGCCCATAAACACATAGGAGGGAAGCATGTTGCCCATACACACCAAGCTGGGGATCACCGGTTTACTTGATCCAGAGCAAGTTTACCTATTAAGTTAGCTAACCCTTCCTTCTAAAGCAAGCTAATCACATTACAATCAGTTCACTTATAGAGTTGGACAGCAGGCAGAAAAGGGGATGGCAAGGGTAAGGTCTCAATGTCTCCCTTTACAGGAGAGAAGATATCCGAGCTACAGAGAAAGACAAGGTCAGTGGAATAAACATCTCAATTACAGCATATGATGAGTGCACTAATGCAAACAGGGCCAAGAGTGTTTCTTTCTGACACTAATACACGTTTTATTAATTTATTAGAACATCTATCACCTGTCTTACCCTCTCCCCCAAATTATGTTTGAAGTATGGATAATTTCTTAATGAAAACCCAAACCATGTGGAATAACAGGCTGTTCAGCCATTCTTGAGAGTATCTTAGCACAATTTCTTTGAAATGTTTCTTCATGCATAGTGTAGGCTTGCTTCCATGTACATTCCCTGTGATGTAAGCCCCTTGGACTAGTCATACAACTTTGTTTACCTTGTCTTTCTTTCCCACAACACTGGCAGGTAGAGGTTTACAAGAGTTTCCGCCCAGGAGACATCGTTCTGGCCAAAGTTGTATCCTTTTTCTGTTGTTTCTTTGATGCTCAGCTTAAGAATCTTTAACTCCTAGCTGGAGTGAAAGCCTTCAAGCAGTTTTCTTTAACCTAGCCTGTGGGACTAGATCTCATTGGGGGATGCACAATCCAACTACTTGCTGACAACAGCAGAAAATGAGCTAGGTGTAGTGGTGGCTCATAGTGAAGCCGGTAAGAACAGTTTGATTCCACACAGATTGAAATGTATTGCGCTTGCTGACGTCTTCCAGGCCACAACCTTTTGAGCCCATGGATAAGTAGGAAGCACTCTGCCTGCCCTAATAACATGACTATCACCATTGGTAGGAAGAATAGAATAAGATGAAGTAAATACAAGGAAGTATGATACTCTTATGATAATGAGACAGGTGTAGTGTTTTGAGAGCTTTGCAGAAACAGAGCAGCTAAATTTCCCTCAAGGTAGCATGAGCTGCAGCCGGAATTGGTAATAGGGTATCTTAACTAGTAGAGGACTCGTGCTTTTGCGGGAGAGGTATGTATTATAACACTTTTTGTTTTGATCTTAGGAGTACAGATGGTGCCCATCAGCTGGTGTGAAATGCAGTGTCCTAGTACACATGCCAAGGAACTGCGCAAGGTAGCCCGGGTGCAGCCTCAGTTTCTGCAGACCTAAATAGTACCTACCCCAAGATGTACAACAGGTGTTGGGAAAACTTAACTCAGGGTAGAGAGAGATGAGGGACACTGGAAAGGAAACTGTCCTCTGAGCTACTGCTGAGTGTACAAGACAGCAATGAAACTCCCATGTACACTTTTGCCTCTGGAATGACCTGGGAGAAAAAGAACCTTAACTACTCTTGTTCACTTCATTTTATGTCCTAATTGTCACTGTTTTATAAGCCAATAAACTGTTTTCCTCGGTGTCTGTACTTTCATGGTTTAAATGTTAGGGCCCTAGTAATTCCTGGCACCATGGCAATGTAAATGGATGTGGCGGCTTGTGTTTCTTCCTCCTTTAGCTGTAGTGTCTCATGAAGATCTCTCCAGAGGAAGCTGAACTTGGTACTTCAGCCTGAACCTGTGTTGTAATGTTCATAACCTCTGCTGTAGTTTCCAGTTTCCTATTGCAGTAGTGCTTGGAACAGAATTGCATCTAGGAACATCAACCTGGAATGTACTAATGGACTATTTGCATAGCCCATTTTCCAAAGGTTTTAGGTTGGGCAAGACTGTCTGACATGTTCTGTATCTAGATATGGATAGCAGAAGTTCTGAAATGGGTATCTGTGGACTCTCCTTAATCCCCGGGGATAATAGGAGAATCTATTGTCTGTATGACCTTTAATCACATAAGAGCCCTACTGGCTCAGACCAGTGATCCATCTAGTTCAGCATCCTGTCTCACACAGTGGCCACAGTTCCTCTGGCAGTCCAACAGCAAGGCATACAAGCCAGGGCCTTCCCCTGATGTTGCCTCCTGGCACTGGGATTCAGAGGTTGACTGCCTTTGAACATGGAGGTTCTCCTTAGTCACCAAGGGTAATAGCCAGTGATAGTCCTATCCTCCATGAATCTGTCTAATCTCCTTTTAAAGCTGTAAACACTTGTGGCCATCACTACATCCTCTTGTAGTAAGTTCCACTTTGCAATCACTTGCTGTGTAAGGAAGTATTTCTTTTTGTCTGTTATGAATCTACTTCCCATCAACTTCATTGGATGCCCTTGAGCTCTTAATATTTTGTGTGTAATTTTATAAAACTCTCATCATGTCCCTCCTTAGTCTTCTCTTTTCTAAACCAAAAAGTTCTGGATTCTTCAGCCTTTCCTCATAGGGCAAGTGCTCCAACCCCATAATCATCTTGGTTGCCCTCTTCTGCACTTTTCCAGCTTTGCAATGTCTATTTGGAGAGGATGACAATAGCAAACGGCTACGACTTCATGGCACTTTCCATCTTGTCCTTTCTGAGATACGGTCGGTGACCAGAACTGCACAAATGTGGCCATATCATAGATCTATACAGGGCTATTATAATACTAGGAGTAAGGCCCACTGTGGGAAGAAATACAAGCAGCTCTAGAAGGAAGCTCCAGGTGCGTGTCCCAACTGTGGCTGGTGGGGTGGCAGAGAGAAGGGGAAAATAGAGGGAGGCAAGCTGTGTTTATTTCCTTCTGCTTAGCTATAAGGCAGGACTGTCTCAAGTCATTTTGCTGCCCCAAGTGGGTAGTATGGGAGGACAGCCTCATGGTAACAGGTATGGTTCCCTCCACCCCTGACATATGTTGATTTGGGGTTATGCAGTGGCAGCTAAGGTAGAAAAGAAAACCTTCTGGGTTCCAAGGGTCTGGAAAGCGGTTCCATAGCCAGTTACAGCGTTGCCAGCTCTGGGTTGGGAAATACCTGTAGATTTGAGGGGTAGAGCCTGGGGAGGGCAGGCTTTGGGGTGTGGAGGGACCTCAGCAGGGTATAATTCCATAGAGTCTATTGCCCAAAGCAGCCATAATCTCCAGGAGAACTGATCTTGGAGATCTCCAGGTGCTGCCTGGAGGCTGGCAATACTAAGGGGAGGGCCAGACCTGTAGATTTGAGGGGTAGAGCCTGGGGAGGGCAAGGTTTGGGGTGCGGAGGGACCTCAGCAGGGTATAATTTCATAGAGTCCATTGCCCAAAGCAGCCATAATCTCCAGGAGAACTGATCTTGGAGATCTCCAGGTGCTGCCTGGAGGCTGGCAATACTAAGGGGAGGGCCAGACCTGTAGATTTGAGGGGTAGAGCCTGGGGAGGGCAAGGTTTGGGGTGCGGAGGGACCTCAGCAGGGTATAATTTCATAGAGTCCATTGCCCAAAGCAGCCATAATCTCCAGGAGAACTGATCTTGGAGATCTCCAGGTGCTGCCTGGAGGCTGGCAATACTAAGGGGAGGGCCAGACCTGTAGATTTGAGGGGTAGAGCCTGGAGATGGCAGGGTTTGAGGTACAGAGGGACTTCAGCAGGGTATAATGCAATAGTCCACTTCCCAAAGCAGCCATTGTAATAGCTGGGAATTTTTTTGTAGGGGAAATGATGTGATGTGGCTGGGGAACACAGTGATTTCTGGGAGTTTTCCAGGCCCCACAGGGAGATTGGCAACTCCAGTGACTGTTGAAGAGAAAATTGGGATATGTATTTTGGCAACTCCAGTGACCGTTGAAGGGAAAATTGGGATATGTATTTTACCTCAGGACACATTCAATTACTCGCAACAGCAAACTGTTTAGAATGTTAGAGGCAAAGGGCTATCAGGCCACATATGCAAATGACCTCTGTGTTCCGACTGGCTATTGGAGGGAGAGGAACAGCAAACTTTAGAATATTGGAGGCGAGAGCACCCAGTGGATAGGGACAGCTTCTGAGTGACAGGTCAGAAGATCTAGCATGCAGTAGTAAATGCCATAACTATCCCCTTAGCTTGTCTGCATTTCCCTCCCTCTGCTAATGACCATGTATCATAAGTATTGCAATACAGCTACAAGGTAGACTGAACTGTCACTATGAAATGGAAATAAGGGAAATAGGGCAGCTCCTATGATGGGTTCATGATCACACCACTTTTTTTTAATATAAAGATTTTATTGTTTTTCCATTACTACACCAGTGCTACAGGGTTAGGGGAGTGGAACACTAATACACTACAATTCTACTAGGAAATGGGGGAGTGGAGCTAACAGGTGGCACGATCTGGATTACATGGCTTTTTAACTAAATCACCAACTACTACTAAGATAACATTGTAAATAAAAGTTTAAGAATAAAAATTAGCTTTCAATATCGTTTTACCAAAAACTGCTGTGGGTCGTGTGGAACGTTCAGAAAAATCACACCAAAAGAGAATTATATATAAGGAGAGAAAGCCATTTTATTTTCAGTCCCTTTTCTAATAATTCCCAGCACAGTTTGCCCTTTTCACTGCTGCTGTAGCAGCACACTGGGTAGAGGAGGGAAATAGTTTTCCCACAGCACCTAAAGTTAAGAGAACAGCCAGATACATTACTAGATAATCTAGCACTTTACAAATATGTTTCCTGCAATCCAGGTTGGAGATTCTTTGGATACTTGCAAGAAGTATCTTCAGTTGTTCTAAATGTTCATGTTACATGACTGCAACAGTTCTCTGTAGTTATAAGTGTAGTATTATCACAATGTATCATGCCCTTTCCTACCAAGAAGGTAGCTGCCCTCTTGCATTGAGGTGCAACCCAAGATAGAACAGCATAATTAAAACAAGGGGCTTCCCCCCCCCCCCTGAACTGCATCATTTAATTATTTTGTAGTAAGATTAAGCAGTTTTATAGTACAGAAGCAGTTAGGGCATTCAAAAAATTGTAGTAGTTATAATTCAGGATTTAACAGCTGAGAACTCATTGTTGTGTTTTGGAGATGTACAGCAGTAAAATGTGGGACTGTCTACATAGATACTGGTCTGTTCACAGACTAAAAAAGCACTTTCTAGCAAAAATGAATCTTATCTGGTAAGATTCATCAGTATCCAGGGAAGGACATTTTCAGTGGCCTCCCCTAAATTCTGGGACTTCTTGTAGAGGCAAGTATAATACCATCTCTGCAGGGTGTCCAGACTAAGATGAAGTTGTTTCTATTCCAGGAGGCCTTTCAGCTGATTGAACATGGAATGGTGTTTAGTGGTTATATTTTAAAATTAAATTAAGTATAGTTTTAAGTAAGAGTATGCTCTTCCTCCCAGTAGAGTTGTCTGTGGGTTGTTTCTTAACAAAGGAGTGGTAACTAGCTGGCTACTCTGCTGGTCTGCGGTGAATCTCAATATTTACAGTATTTGCTCAGATGCAAGTTGTTTTCCCCCCACAGGTATGCCATCAAAAAGTGACACAGACACAGCAGATATTGCACATAATTCCTTTATTTTACTGAGACTAGGGCAAATTCAGCCATTGTACAGTGACGTGAGCTCCAGTGCAGACCCACCCTATGGCAGGTTGGGATACCACAGGGATTGTGGGGCTGAGAAGCAATACAGAATGATACACAGTATCTGGGCTTACTGGCACTACATAGCAAGATTATGGGACTACATCTGAAGATTCCAGGGTGGGTGCTCATACCTTCCCTAGCCTGATCCCATCCTAACGGTTTGATGGCAATAGAATATCTTGGCAATTGTTACTTAACACGGAACCAAATAACAGTTCCAGGGACAATTCAAAATATGATATGGCCCTTCAATGACACAAGACAAAGCCGCAACAGAAGTGTGGTCTTTGCATCACCACTGTGCTCTGAAGCATCCCTGCCCTTAAAATCAGAGCAGTGAATGGCCAAATCGTCAAGCAACACTTAAAACCAAGTAATTTTTAATGACAGCAGCTGCATTAAGTGGCATAAAGGTGGGAAAGTTCTCTTGGAAATGCCAGAGGTTCTAGTGCCTTCATCTGAGGAGCACTGTAGTCCCTTGCCCATGGACTGACAAGATGCAATTCCGGAGCCCCTGGTGGACCACATCCCTATGGTTATCTCTCCAGAACCTACTGGGAAGGAATGAATGTGGAAGGAAATTGGTCCTAAAGGAAGGGATATGGTCCCAAGAAACTCTACCTCCTTTGGCTCTTTGAACCCCATTCCTCTGGCTGTGGCAGATGTGTGCTGGGAAGGAAAAGGAATGAGGAGGGGGATCTTCTACTGCTTGCCTACCCCACCCTCACTTCTTAGCCTTGCCCTGGGATGCCACTGCTTCCATGGCCTTGCGGACAGTCTCCTCATCACCTAGGAACTGCATGGGTTTGATGGGCTTCAGGTTTTTGTCCAGCTCATAGACTATGGGGATTCCAGTGGGCAAATTGAGTTCCATGATCTCTGCCTCAGACATTCCTGCAAGAAAAAAAGATGAATCATTCCAGGAGCTTGGCTTTATTACCCCTCCCAAGAACTGTTACAAGGTGCCTGGGTACATCAGCCTTTCTGACAGTTTGCCATGAGACTTGAACAGGCTTGTGCAAACTCACCTTCTAGATGTTTGACAATGCCACGGAGGCTGTTGCCATGGGCAGCAATGAGCACACGCTTGCCCTCCTTGATCTGGGGAACAATTTCCTCATTCCAGAAGGGAAGGGCACGAGCAATGGTATCTTTCAGGCTCTCACATGTAGGCAACTGATCTTCAGTGAGGTCAGCATAGCGACGATCCTGCAGACAAATGTGCAGTGGCACTCATTAGACTTTGCTCCTGCTTTTTGGAGTCTGTCAAAGCCATCTGCTGAGCTATACCTAAGGAAAACCCTCATCTCGGAAACTGCTCTAGTTGATCTTTTGGGCTGTGCTACAGTGCAGTCCAGCAGTGCCCATGCTCACAAATTGCCTGCTGTACTTCACAACTTAGAACAGGCATTTTACTGCTGCCCTTGCAAAAGCTTCCCTATTCCTACTGTGGTCCCTGGCCCTTCACACCAACACTGCTTTTATTTAACACTAGGATGCTCATCAGTAGATCATTTGCTGCATAGGCTTTCTCCCACTGTGATCACGGTGTAATACAAAGCTATGAATATTACTTTGGCCTTCCTGAGCCTCAAATATTTTTCCTTTAGGAGACTGTGCCCATTTAAGAGTGCATACCCAGGCTCACTTACAGTGCCTCTTTAGTAGTAGAACTATATGGTAAAAGTGAATGTTTTTTTTTCCATTGCCATTCTGATCTAAACATTTTAATAATAGAACAATATACTACTAGTTTGTTCATATTAATCTAGAATACAATATTGTATAGGGCTTATAAAATTTTGTATAGGGCACCCTGACCTGACTAGCCCAGGCAAGCCCGATCTCATCAGATCTTGGAAGCTAAGCAGGGTTGACTCTGGCAAGTACTTGGATGGGAGACCACTTTGAAATACCAGAGGCAGGGGCAGGCTTTATTCAGCCACCTCTCTGAATATCCGCCAGGCCCCTAGTAGGGATCAGTCACCAGAGGTCACCATGAGTTCCAAGTGCGCACACACACACGCTCTTTTACACACACACATGAAAAATACATTAAAAAACCCAACAAAATCTTGTATAGGGCTTATGGTTTGGCCATTTCCATGATTAAGTCATTAACAAACATGCTGTATAGGCGGAAGTCTCTACCTTTGCTTCCGAAGAACCTTGACTGCCATCATCATGCAGTACAAATATCCATGAAAGGACACAACATCAATGATTAATGGCACAGAAGGACCACCTCTTTTCCTTAGTAAGCAGGTCCTGTTACATTTACACAACACACCAACCACATCGCATGCCAGACCTGCAATCAGCAAGGTCAACTGTAGGGCTTCCAAAAACTACAGGCCTAGTGAGAGTTATTCATGGGCAAGAGCTAAGCAATGGGAGAAAATGAATGAAATTAGCCCAGTGGACTCCATCGCCATTGCAAGGGAATGCGCAAAACAACGATAGCATGAAGTTACATCCTGGTCGCCATTTCAAAAGAATCTTTTGAAACATACACACAACAAAAGAAGCCCCACCTCCATACAGAGTTACAGTAAGGACCTTTCCAGCTCACCTTGCTGATAATGCTGTAGAAAGGATGGTCAGGCTCCATTGGAGGTGGTGGAATGTCAAAAGAACGCCTCCAGATCTTCACCTGGGCCTCTCCATGTTTAGCAGCAGTCTCAGCTTTATTAAGGCCTGTTAGGCCGCCATAGTGCCTCTCATTGAGACGCCAGGTCCTTATGACAGGCAGCCACATTTGATCAATAGCATCCAGTACAGTCCAGAGGGTACGAATTGCCCTCTTCTGCACAGATGTGAAGCAGATGTCAAACTCATAGCTAGCATCTAGAACGAGAAAAATTACAACATTCAATCATTTGATTTTTAACCCCATCCCAGAGACACAGGGTATTTTTTTGCATATCTTTATTTATATCCTACTTATCTCTCCAGTGGTATCTGAAAGTAGCTAAGAAAAAAATATCTCCCCTCCCCTTTCACAACTAGCACCCTGCAAGATAGGTTTGTGCTAGCAGTCCACCCCAGACTCTTCAGTTAACCTCAGGATTTTTGGCTCCCTAAATATTTGGAATAGGAGTCTGCTGTGGAAGTTCCACATCTGCACATTCAATGTTTCACTGTCCAATGTAGGGTGGAGAAGTCACCTAACTGCTCTGTGAGTTAACCAATATTGTGAAGTTGTGCATCATTGTCTCCAAGCTTCCAGTGATGAAACTAACAAGCCCAGCAAAACAGCTGAGAACCCCCCCCCCCCCGCCATGCAGCACACAAGGCCATACCATAGCTCAGCCAGATCATGTCTGCAGATTACGCAGCAACTCAGTGAAGCAGAAAGCTGTGATGCTTATATAACCATCATGTGTGTGGGAGGGGTGCCCTTAGTAGCAGCCATGCTCTCCCCTGCAAAAGGAAATAACCAGTCATCCCTCTCTTAAGAGACTTTCTTGTAGAGCAGAACTAACAATTTTGTTCCTTGTAATCCCTTCTACAAGAAATGTGGCAAACTGCTTGTTCTCATGTGCCCTATCACCCCACTCTGTACAGAAGTGCCAGATGTTGCGCTGGAGGCAGGAACTGCGCAAGGCAGAGAAGCGCAGTGGACTGTGCAGGCACCAGGCACTTATGATCTCATTCCTGATCCCCTTTAAGAACACACCTGCATTAATCGATACTGTCCCCTTCTAGGACTTGTTAATCTTGGTTTAAGATCAGTTTAGCCCCCCTCCCCAAACACCAGAAGCAAAACAGGAAGGTTTGGTGACTGTGCACCAGCAGAAGACACACTGGCACTAGCTGTTTTCTGCAACCGTCTTCCCCTGACTTCCTAAAGCAAGAACTGTGCCCAGCCTCCCTCTCCCTTGCACAGCACCACAGAATGACTCAGCTTCTGCTACATCTCCCCAGCAAAGGCTCAGCCAGATCATGGGGACACCCAGGGCAGGCCTGATGTTTTTCGGCGCTCTAGGCTAAACTAGCCCCCCCCCCCCCAGGCGAGGCTGCCTTGTGGCGCCCCACCTTCACCTTGTGTCACTCCCGGGGGCCATTTGCAGAAGCCAAGCTTGGCGCCCCCCACCGCGGTCTGGAAGTTTGGCCTTGGTGGGAAGTGGAGAGGCCACATCTGAGCAGGACCCGCCGCTCCCACCGGCCAAGTGCGTCTTTGGAGGGCCATCTGCACACATGGCCCTCCCTCTCCGGGCACTTCGTGGCATGGGGGCCAGGCCGGCTGGAACCCGGCCCGGGGAGGGGGGCCTTCAGAGCAGGGCCGGCGGGGGACAGACAAGCCAAACGTTGGGTGAAGCAGAGGGGTGGGCTTGGGGGGAGGGGGGCCACACGCACCGTGGGAAAAACTTCGAGCAGAGGATGGAGGGGGCGGCTGGCAGAGGAACAAAGGCAAGGGGGGAAGGGCGCCTTCTGATGGGGGCTTTTGGCGGCGGGGGGGGTGCAGTTTGGCACCCCTAAGGGTCGGCCCGCTCTAGGTGAACGCCTAGTTTGACTAGTGAGCAAGCCAGCCCTGGGGACACCTCATGGGATGGAGGGAGAGGGAAGCATGCTCAGCTGCTTCTTAAGCAAGAACATCTCAAACCATATTAGGCTATGGCTGGACTTCTTCTTTGGAGACAATGAGGACATTGTATGGTTCAGGCAGAAACAATGCCCCATTGGGGAGACAGGAAAGTGGAGAGATAGGAAAGTGACCTACCCAAGATTATTACCAGACAGTGGCACAGCTTCAGAACACACCTAGAGGCTATCACTGATCTTCATACAGAAAGAAATAGGCCATGCTGGTTACTTAAGCAACCGAGGAAGAGACAACATGCAATGCATCTCCACAACCACCCAGTCTTACTTCCTGGAGGAATGAGATGGTAAACTACATCAAAAACCAAAGCAGGGCCTATTATGCTCAGACCCACCCATTCAGCACCAGCCATTTCAGACAAACAAGCATAAATCGTTGAAAGGGGAGGTGGCCAGGTCTCAGTACCAGGCATGGAACAGGACAACTAGATTTGTTTCAGAATAGTAAGTAGTTGAAAGATCTTTAAAACTGGTTTGAACTCCATTTATTTTGATTTATAAGCTCAAAATTAGCAGATAATGGCAATCCTTGATTCATGATTTACTAAGTACAGCATTGTATTTTATTTCAATCTTCAATAAACAGTTAAAAATGAAAAGGAAAAAAAAGAATAGTGAGTGCCAGGCACATCGCACCTGCCGGGGTGGGGGGAAAGGCACTCGCTGCTTTGCTATTTCTTCCTTCACAGAGGGATTCTGCTATTCAGATCAGATTTCGAGTCTGACCCGCAGCAAGAGGGTTATTGGGTAAGAGCCTGGGTGTTCGCTCTCCCTGGCCTATCATGCGGTTGCCCTCTTCCACCTCAGAACTCCGGGAACTTCCCCAAATCGTCACCCACAAAATGTGCAAGCAGCAAGAAGAGAGAGCATCATCCCCAACGAAACTGGTTTCTATCGACCAATGCCTGAACCCCATGCGCTCTTACTAGAGTGAACAAGCCTCATTACATTCAATGGGATTTACTTCAGAGTAAGCAAGGGCAGGCCAGGGCTCTTATATCCCAATTCCCGAGCAAGGGCAATGGAAGACCCCCAGGTAGCCCACTACTCCCATTGCACGGAGCGCGGAGAAAGAAGAGAAAGCCACCACGTGGTTGAAAAAGAATAAAGGAAAGTCTCGTTCCGGAGCCACCATACCCCAGTGGCCCCTGAGCACGCACTACTCATCAGAGCTTGCATGCAACCTCCATCCACCCACAAGCTGGCATCAGCCCTCGGTCAGGTCGTGTCGTCGTCGTCCCCCACCCCCGGGCATCGCGCAGCAGCAGCTAACCCTGCGAGCATCTCCCCCTCCCGCCCCTCCTTCACCTCTCAGCGCCTCTCCGCCGCGCTGTGCCTCTTCTTGGCCCGCCGGGCTCAAGTCCGCGTCGTACCAGCCACTGAACCGGTTCTCGAGGTTCCAGGTGCTCTCGCCGTGCCGAACGAGAACGAGCCTGTACGCAGCCGCCATGCCGGAAACGAATCAGGTCAGAAGAGGAGGTAGAGAGAGGGCGAGACGGCTTTCTCACCGCGCTAAGGGGACAGAAGCAGCCGCTCAAGGCGCATGCGTCGAAAGCACAGCCTTCACACGAGTCCACTACGCAGGCGTCCACGGCTTCCGAGCCCCTCCCGCCGTGTACGAAGCCTGGCATAATGCGCATGCCCACAATGCCTCGTAGCCAGCCAGGTCCAGAATCGGTACGTGCGCTCTCTAAGAGGATCGGTGGAGGTTTTGCGCGTGCGTTGAGGAGTAAGTGTTTGACCCCCTTCTTCGGGCACGGCGCTCACGGAGCTCACGCGAAGGGCAACGTGACCTTCATCCACTATGATGTCACCGGTGCAGGCGCGCCGTGCTTGGAGAATGAGCCCCCCCCATTGCTGAGCTGTGGCCCGATCGATCTCATGAATACAACAAGCTGATGGTTTCCAAGACCCAAGTTGATGGACCATCGATCCATCTAGCTCAGTATTGTCTGCTCTAATTGGCAGTGGCTGTCCAGGATCCCTGGAGCCGAAAGATCTTTCTTAGCTGCTTCTGCTGCCTGAAAACCTTTAACTGTCCGTGCCAAAGGCTTTCCCTTCACAAGCTGCTCCGCCACAGAAACATGGGCTGCCTCTGCCCCAAATATACATTTGTAATAAATCAGTCTTGCCAGCAGTGTGAAGAGTTCATATCCTCTGGTGTCATCTGGATGGAAGCAAAGGAATTATGGAGAATTGCAACCTATAACATGAGTGTTTCACTAGTTTTTCTTTAATGTGAATAAGTGATACGCTTCAGCATCTGGATAGGAAAGGAATCCTACAATGGTGCCTGCTGGATTTGGCAGGGTCACTATTCATATTAAAAGGAGAGCCTGCAAGAAAATGAATTTTTATGGTGAACATAATATATAAGAGGTGCTCTGCTGGATCAGATCAGTGGTCCAGCATCTAGTCCAGCATCATATTTCACATAGTGGCCAACCAACTGCCCAGAAGGCCAATAACAGGGTGTAGAGGTCAAGGCCTCTACCAGCACCGGCATGTAGAGTTTTTTCTGGATGTGGATGTGCTATAAAAGCACAAGTAGGAGGCATGTAGGAAGGTGGCTCCTGACCTATTCAATATTTTTGGTACTCTAAGGCAGGGGTTGCCAACATTTTCTTTCATGAGAGCTGCTTCTGAACAATATTCCAAGCCACTCTCCCCACCACCACCAGCATGCTACCAAAGCTTTGTTCTGTCCTGGGAACATGAGCTACAATTGAATCTATCAGCTAAAAAGCACAGAGAAAAATCCTATGAAGAGCTTTACAAAAAAGCCTAGAACACATATTTGTACCATCTTCTGGGTTTTCTAGCAGATAACCAGGGCCGGCCCGAGGGGAGGCTGTGCCCTAGGTGAGGCTGCAGGCCGCAGGTGCCAACCTAGAGACCGCCCCACTGGAAACCCAGCAAGAGGCCCTGGATGGGGGGGCGGGCCCTGGATGGGGGCGCTGAAGTTCGCCTCCCCCCCTCGCCAAAAGCCAGCGCCAATCTCCGAGGCTCCCCTCCGCGGCCCTCCCGCCTGTCTGGACCCTCTCCAGTGACCCATGGCCGGCGGGGAAAGGCGCCGGCAGAGCGGGCGCATGAAGAGGGGAGCCTGCGCCGGGGCCGCGCTTGCTGCCGCCTGCCGGGGGAGCCAAGGCCGCCGGAGCTGCTGCAGGCACCGCCATGCAGGAAGTAAGCGTGCCCTGCAGAAAGAAAGTGCCGCGGCCTCAAGTTTGCACACTGGGGGGGGGGAGGATTATGTGAATGATTCTCGGCGGAAGCGGTGGAGAGATCACGGACTCCAGGGGCCAAGCGATGGTGGCATTTCCCCTCCCCCGGGGCAGCCTGCCGTTTGCATGGGCCCCGGAGGGGACCGCCGTCGCCCAAGTTTCCCAGAGGGTAGCTGGTGGTGGAACTCCAGGTTCCGGGAATGATTCACACAATTCCCCCCCAGTGCGCAATGTTCTGCAGGGGAAAACTTGTAAAAACTTGTACAGCAGACCATCCCTCCAGACTGTGTCATAAGTGGCAGTCAGATCGATGAAAACTGCTGATGTCTTAAGACACTTCTGATATCCTGCCTCAATGAAAGGTGTTAAGCTGAGAACCTGGTCTTCACAACTATAATGGAGTCTAAATCCTGCTTGCTGTATAGGGACATGTTCATTAATTCTGTCACTGATTCTCCTCAGGATTAGCCTCTTGAGAAGTTTATAACAGGAGCTCAGAAAGGAAATAGGTCTGTAATTTTCTGCCATAAGTTTTGGTTTTCCAGGTTTCAGAACAGCAACTATCTTTCTTGAATACCCTTGGGAGTCTTCCTGTTTTAATGATGTGAGAAATTTTGCGAGCCACTTCTTAGTGAACGTACTGCTGTTGATCAGAAACTCATTATGGAAGCAGTCAAAGCTGGTGCTTTTCTGCTCTTGATGTCCTTTAGTGCCTTGGAAATCTCATCAGCACTGAAAGCCCCTAACAGCTTGCAGTCTTCAAGAGAAGAAGAGAAGAGATTGGATTTATACCCCGCCCTTCACTTGGAGTCTCAGAGCGGCTTACAAACTCCTTTCCCTTCCCCTCCCCACAACAGACACCCTGTGAGGTGGGCGGGGCTGAGAGAACTCTTGACAGAAACTGCCCTTTTTCAAGGACAGCTGTGCCAGAGCTTGTGACTGACCCAAGGTCACATCAGCAGGTGCAAGTGGAGGAGTGGGGAATCAAACCCAGTTCTCCCAGATTAGAGTCCGCGCACTTAACAACTACACCAAACTGGCTCTCTTCAAGGCAGGTGCATTTCAACATCCAGAGTTCTTTTAAAATCCTGCTTGTAAAATTTGATCCTTTGGAGCCAGTTTGTTGTAGTGGTTAGGATCGTGGACTTTAATCTGAGAGAACCGAGTTTGATTCCCCACTCCTCCACATGCAGCTACTGGTGTGACCTTGGGTCAATCACAAGATCTCTCAGAGCTATTCTCTCAAGAGCAGTCCTCGAAAGAGCTCTCTGAGCCCTGCCTACCTCACAGGTTGTCTGTTGTGGGGAGGGGAAGAGGAAGGAGATTGTAAGCCGCTCTGAGACTCCTTCGGGTAGTGAAGGGTGGGGTATAAATCCAATCCTCTTCCTCCTGCTGATAGGGATATCAGTCAGGCAGCTACCTGGTTTGATGTTACCTCTGGATTTCCTTGGAGCACACGTGGGCTTGCACCTAGGTTTTTCACTAGGTTCCGGGCTTTCCTACTGGAATGGAATTTGCAGTTGCTTCTGTCCATTTTTGTCTGTGTGCAGCATCGAGTTCATGAGTAGTTCATCTGCTACTTCTGGGTCTTTGCTGTTGAGGAAATTTTGATGCAGCCTCTCACTCTGATCGCTCCAACCTGGAATATATTCTTTCCGATATCCTTGAGGAATGTGCCTTTGGGCCATAGATATAACAGCTCCAACAAACTGGTGGTAGTTATTATGTGTTGGAGGGACCCATCCAAGACATCTATTCAGATCTTCACCAAAACCTTTCTAATTCTTCCTCTTAAAGTTCCATCATGATCTTGGAAAAGATCTGAAAACTGGTATTTGGATTCCTAGCTCAAGGTTTACAGGTTGATGCTGACTGTGTGGGAAAGCCTCAAGAACATGTCTTGATATAGGCAAGGGCTGACTTCTCCAGTCAGATGAAACAAATGTTAAATCAGGGTTAGGCTCTCTATTCCATGCCACTGATCTGAAGGTGCCTCTGTCTTTAGCATCAAAAACGAGATGCAAGCTGTGTTCTTCAGCTCTGTCTACAAGTGCCTCACCGTTTTTATCATTAACCAAGTATCTCTGATTTCCATGGTGGCTGTTAAAGTCACTGGCATACACAGAAGAATGAGGGTAGTTTGATAGGACATGTGCTAGCCATGAAACTGCAGGAGGTTTGTAAACGCTGAAAACATATACTTCCTCAAATTTTACAATTGTGTGGCTGTCATTGTAGATGTTGGTCAATACCAGCTTCACATCCGTTGGAACTGAGTGATGTGTATTCCAGAGTAACTGTCTTTATTTCTGTAATGCAAAGGTACCCTCATCTCTATTCCGTGAGATCTTAACACAGTGCGGTAATTAATATAATGGAATGCTAGATACAGGCACTGATTAAAGAAATGAGTGTACTAAGTTTTAAATAAATAACAATAAAGTCTTAAGAACACATTGGGATTTCAGGTGGACCTATGTAGGATTGTTCACAAAACAAATTTCAGCAGAACATTTACAAACCTTACAATTCCAAGGACACTTTCCTGGAAGTAAGCCTCACTGAATAAAATAGCACCTACTTCAGAGTACACCTGTTTAGGATTACTTACTAAGCTAGGGAAAATAATATATTAATAAAACAACACTATTGTTATTATTTAGTTCATTTATACTCCACCTTTCTGGCCAGATGGGGACCCAAAGTAGCTCACATCATTCTCCTCTCCTCAATTTTATGCTGACAATAACCCAGTGAGGTGGGTTAGGCTGAGAGAAAGTAACTGGCCCATGGTCACCCCACAAGCTTCCATAGCACCAGTGGGGAATCAAACCAGGATTTTCCAAATACTAGAGGGACACTCACACTGATTCAAATTAACATCTCCTACCCTCATATATATCTTGTTTTGGTACAGTAACCTTTCTATTTCTCTCATATTTGTATCTAAAACTGTTCCTGGCTGTTTTGATCAAGTCTTTCTACCCTTTATTTTTGTAATAAAAGTTTCCCTTTGTCTTCTCTTCAACTCTCTCATTGCTCAACTGCCCCAACAAACTCCCCCAACTTGGTATTTTCAATCTTCCACCAATCAGGCATGCCACTACCAGCCTGACCAATCACGGGCCAGCCAAGTATCAACCAACCCCCTTCCTAAATTCAGGCCTCTACTCTATGAACACTTCCTTGGGAATAAGCACCACTAAATACTTCTGAGTAGACTTCCTTAGGGTTGCTGCCTCACTCTTTCAAGTGGTTTGTTTCCTGTTCCTGAATAACTAAAGCCCTCATTTGGTTACAAACTTTAGCCCTTCAACTTTCCATTTCTCATAGAA